AAAAAAAAAAAAAGAAAAGCAATTCCTGAAGATGTCTATGTACTTATATGGGGTAACATATGAGATATAGTGTTAAGGAAAAAAAAATACAGTGCAGTGTACATGGTATGTGAGCTTTTGTGTAAGAAACAATGGAAAAAAAATATACATGTATTTGTTTGTTTTTGCATAAGCAACACTTGAAGGGTAAATTAGAATCTAATAAAAGGTAAATTTTGGGGGAAGAAGACTGGCTAGAGGGGATAGAAAGGGACACTTCTTTCAGTATGCCTTTTTTAAACCTCCATTTAAGTATTTTTATATGCAAATATGCATGGCTTTTTTAATAACAACTTTATTGAGATATAATTCACATACCATGTATTTCACCTGTTTATGAAGTGTTGAGTTTGCATCTTTATAACCTTTTACTTTTGAATCATGGAAGTGTTTCATATATTCATAGATTGAATGAAATCAGAAAGAAAAAAAATGCTAAATGGAAAACTACATTGAAATAAATGAAAATAACTGTAAATAAGAGAAAACACTCAGACAAAATGAGTATTTCAAGTGACATTTGAACAGCTTCTGACTGTACATCATTAATGGGATATAGTCAAGGACAAAAAGAACAGCAAAGAAATCTTATACTTCATGCAGTTTTATTATTAGTATTAACATTGTAATTTTGAAAGTATTTTATGTATGTAGTAGGATAAAGACATATATATTATTTTAGGAACCAAGATATTTCATGAAAGAGAAAAGAGATCCAAACATAAAATAAAAAAAGTGAAGGGGAAATCCTATACTATCATATGTGAACTGGAAATATCAACATGAGCTCATGATCTTAGAAATATGCATTTCTTATTTCTGTTGGAAGCAATAATACCCAAGTAGCAATGCATCATTAACACACTTAAGCCCCAGATCATGATTTCTAAGTACTATACTATTTCCCACTGAAAGGAAGATCTCCTGCTGGGACTCCCCCTTGTCTTAAAAATATTAGCAGGTCAAACCCTAAGGGCAGAAAGCAGGATGAAGAAGGGAGAGTGTATCTGAAAGAGCAAGTGTAAGATATTCAGTACTCTGAATGTGGGTACTAGAGGGCAGGGTTAACATTTCTAGTGATAGCATTATAAATCATTTTTTAAAAATTATTTTACTCAAATGATTTACATGGAAGAACTCTGGAAAATTTCGTTAGAAATCTCGAAAAGTCTATCTAGTTGCTGTAGATAAAGATGAGTGGCAAATTCTTTGCTTCTTCTTCATTGAGAAGTGGAGTCTAATTTCCAGCTCTTGAATCTGGGCTGGCTTTAGTGACTTGCTTGACACAGTAGGCAAGTGAGTGATGTTCTT